CCGAGAAAAAGGTCATGTCAATCCCCAATTATTAATGCTTATAGATGATATCCTACAGTCAGTAAATCAGAGAAAGCCAAGTAGACTTAATCCTTTCTTGACTTCTCTAAGGCCTTTGATATGGTCAACCATGAAAAAAATCCTGTATAAGCTGCATTTCTACGGTATAAGGGGTCAGACTCTTAAATGGATCAAAGGTTTTCTTGATAAAGGTCACAGTCCGTGGTGGTAAATGGCTCCACATCCAGCTTTCCATACCAGTCTCCTCCGGTGTTCCCCAGGGCTTCGGTCCTCGGACCTCTCTTATTTCTTATATACACATAAATGTGACCTTCCCTGAATATGTCCAAGTCCTCTAAGGTCCGCCTATTTGCTGATGAAACAACAGCCATCTATCTATCTCTGACTGTCCGCTTTCTCATTCTAGCTTACTTCAACATTTAAAGTTACACCAACTTGAACAATGGGAAACAAAATGGGACATGCAATTTAATCCATCAAAAATGCAAGGTTATCCAATCACAAAACGAAAAACAGTCATTCCAACAAAATACCTCCTACATAAACACCACATTAGAAACAGTTCCATCTGCAAAATACCTTGGCATTAACAATATCAAATGATTTAACATGGAAACAAACACATAAACAACATCACAACAAAGGCGAATCAAAACACTTGGTTTTCTACGCCGAAACATCAAGGTTCACTCAGAAAGGTTAAAGTCAACCGCATACAAGACACTTGTCAGACCCCAGCTTGAGTACAGCTCCATCGGTCTGGTCCCCTACACAGGAACCTCATTGACCAGATAGAGTCAGTCCAGAGAAGGGCTGCTAGGTGGGTCAAACATGACTTTGGCCGTATGTCAAGTGTCACTGACATGTTTGACTTCCCTTCAAATGGAGGCGCCTTGACCTTCGGCGTATTGACCAACGTTGGTCATGTCTCACAACATCCTGCATGACTCAGGTGGCTATTTCCTTTCCCAAAGTATATAAGTCCTCTTACAAGATCATCTAGAACATCCCATCTCCATGATTCCAACAAGTCCAAACTAAAACTGATTACTATAAATATTCATTTTTCCCAGAGAACAATTGTCCACTGGAATGCTTTAACCACCTGAAATCATAAACTTGTCCTGGCCCCGAGTTCAGTCTGGCTGTAAGCCGGATTGAAAATACGTCTCCCTAAAAATACCTTTTCTGTTTTTAACCTGTTTTTAACAATATACTCATTTCCTTTACTTTTATATTCTTTTATTTCAACTCTTTTACTAACATTCTTGTCAGTTGACGCGCGTCAAGTCTAGGTCCCCAGCAGGGGTTTGACTATATGGAAGATAGATAGATAGAATGTTCATTCTTTCCAAGGACAGTTGTTCAATGGAACACACTGCCATCGTATGTAGTTAATGCTGACAGGATCCCTGGTGCAACCTTAGATATATCACATCATACATGTAGATACTGCTTTTATCCTGTTTTGAACCTCACTTGTAGTCTTACCTTCTGCACTACGCATTTGTCTGTATATATTTAAAGCAGCATGCCTCCAGATTTAGAATATTTTCTTGAAAATTTTGAAATTGTATTTAATAGCATAATAATTGTGAAGTAACCAAAAGGAAGCAATTAACACATTATCTTGCAACCCAAGTAAATTACCAAAAAAGAGTTACAATATGCAAAAATAACCCTAACTGCGTTAGTAACGCAGTAGTAATATTGATATAAAAAACTGAAAAAATAATCATTAATTGCATAAAACATGTAAATTATTACTTGAATATTGAATCTTTTTTACTTTTTCTAAAATATAAGTACATTTTTGTCAAGTTTGATTATATTGACATACTTTGGCTCATCTGGAGGCATGCTGCTTTAGGGGCGTAAGGTGTTGGGTTTTTGCACCTTTTTTATCACTGTTGAATGGATTAAATAGCTCTAGGTATCCTACTCACTATTCTTTTAAGCCCCATCACGCATGGCTATATTGTATCATAAATGAACGTAGCAATTATTGTAGAAGAAGAAGGTAGACCATAGCTAGAAAGAGGGTTAACCAGGCATTGGTAAAAGATCCATATTCATATAATAGAGGGAGGTAATAGACATGCATTAAAACTTGAAAATTATAATTTTATTTTGTTATGCTTATAATGTGAATGCATCAAACGTTGCTGCCATTGGGCTTATAGCCCCCTCCTCCACCGTAAGTGTTAATGGCGAGTGCAAAGGTGAAACTTATAATTATTTCACATTTTGCCATAATTGTGCACAATTTTATATCTTACTGTACAAAAATTATTATTGTCACACGTTCCGATATTCCTAAATATTTTCCTATAGATATTGTTGGGAATGTATCGGTATCGTTTAATTGAAAAACAGTGGGGCAATCTTTATAATTAAGGTACTTTATAATTTTTGATCCTAAACATTTTTCATAATCAATTTTTGGTCGATCACTATTATAAAAGTGAATCCTTTGAAATAAATTAAATCAACTAAACAGTGGCTTATTTTAACTTAATCGCAAAAAATGTGTGCGTAATGTCAATTAAATAACAAAAATAAAAAAATTAAAACAAAATAAAGACATGACTTAATGATAAAAAAAAGCGAAATAGCCCCCCCCCCCCTCCCCAAAAAAGATAAATAAATGAAAAAGAATTCAATAAATGAATAAAAAAGCCCAGTGTGAGAATAAATGCCATGGTCCCAAGATGACATTGACCATTGACCTCGCAGTCTTCTCAAAGCGCATGCACCTGTAAATTTGAAGGTTGAAGGGCCTGTGTTTTTGTTGAGACAAACAGACAGCAAAGAACATAAAGACCAAAAACAATATGCACTCCATTCTGAAGCATGTAAACACGAGGATGCTTTTTTTTCTTTTTTTTTTTTGGTTGACAAGTAAAAGGTGTCACGTTTACAAATGGGCGTGGCAATGCTTTGCAATCTCTCATATTTTGTTCAGATCAGAATTGATAATTCCGTTAAAAAGAAAAAAAACATATATTATTTAATATCATTCATTGCTAATCTTTCGTGCCTTTCATTGATTTCATCACTTATAATTTCAAAATTTTATATAATTATAAAGTGATATATTTATATTATGAATCCTTTGGATCTCATTGCTATTAAACATTTTTATAGTAAAGCAATTTTCAATGACACTCTCTTAGACATCGTCATATTGATTCCTCTAAATGTAATCATTTACTATAAAACATGTTTCCTGCTGTCTCCATGGTAACGGAGACAAAATGTCAGATTGTCATTTAGTAGAGCGTAGTTTTGTATTAATCTATTAAGGAGAGGTAGATAAATCGTTTTATCGGTACATGGCATGTTTTAAACCTTACTGATGAACCATTGATACCATGTTACGGTAAGTGATGATTGATTTGGTACGAAAATTATCTGTAAAACACCGCTAAACATGTCTACATGATTATCGAGGGCTCTTCAATAATTTCCCGTGGTCAACTATAAATTTATATAGTCTTTTCTATATTTTTTAGATTATTGGTTTTCAAATTCTGTGTAACAAAATGATGGTTTATATATAATTTAAACTGATATTTTGTTATATATATATTTTTTTGCTATTTATTGACGCCGAAGACTTGTGTTTTGATACATGAAGTCTTGAGATTTTTTTACTAAAAACAACAACAACAAAAAAAAACAACAACTGAAATTTGGTTAGAATTCGCACTTAATTATGATTTCATTCTAGATATATTTTCTTCTCAATATTTGCCGTTTAAAGTGCCCCTTATATCTACATAGTATTTTTTTAAAACCTCAGTCCTTGTAATGTAATATTTTCAATAGTTAATCTATTGGTATAACTTGTTTCCTTTCTTATTTGTGTAGCCAATATTCACAGTTTTGTTGCCAATATGTTAAAGTAAATATAGACTCACAATTTCACCTGTCAATCCCCGGGGGTGTGGAGCTCAAAACGCTCCCCACCCAAAGTGTCTGTGGTCAATCCCTCTCAGGTTAACCTTTATTTCCAGTCACAGCTAACTATTAAAATATCTAAATATGAACTTTATATGAAATTTCAAGTATCAGAAACCCTTTTCTCAATAAGCATAATCGACATAAAGGTAATTAAAGGTCACGTGGCTCCTTACACAAATCATATTGACACCCTTGCTGACATAATACCTCCTTTCTCTATTGCAGCAAGGAAGTGACTTTAATGTATTAGATGTAATATCAAAGATGTAACTAATTGCTTTAAACCTAATTGTAAAACTGTTTAGCCCACAGGCACTAGACACAATTATTTTACCCATATACGGTCATAATACTATATATAAAGAATATATAGTATTATGAGCGTATATGGCTAAAATAATTGTGTCTAGTGCCTGTGGTCTAGCCTCTCAATAAAAGACATAGTGTGCAATGGTTATATCTAGCCTCTCAATAAATAACATAGTGTGCAATGGTTATATCAAATGTCTCAGTAAAATGTATGGTGCACAATAATTTCATATCGCCTCTCAATTGAGAGCTTTAAAATTTGATAAATGCAACGACGTTATCTTACTACAGTAAAAACTCTGAAAACCGGACCCTGTTCGGACTTGACCAAAAGTCCGGTTTTCAGAGGATTCGATTTTCAGAGGTTTTATACATTTATTGATAATTACGAATACTAAAAATTAGAATGGTGGGTTATTGTTATATATACAATTACAAATGTTGCATATGAAGTCACTTTGTAGCTTCTATCTCTCTTGTTGTCTCATAAGTAAAACACAAAATATAGGTAATTGCTTAACCATTAACTTTAACAATTTTTTAATAGATAGAGCATATCAAAGAATCGTATCATAAATTAGAATGCATGCAGTTATAAATTAAAGGATCGGGCATTTTGTACA